GTAAAGGCAACGTCTCATTGGATGGCTGCCAGTCGGATGACCTCACACACCTTTGTCTGAAATAGAGAAATGTAATTTTGGGTTAAGTAGTAGAATTTAAATTACCTTTTGTGATTCATACTGCTTTTATGTTGCTGGTCAGCTGCACTAAAGCTGGTGCTAATTTTCTCCATTGGTGATCACTGTGATTATAGAACAGAGAGGGGTTAGATTTTTTTTTTTTTTTGGTTGATGTATTAGACTCTGATGGGACATTTTCCTTAATTTCCTATTCCTGTGACCACTGTCACATAGAAAGGAAACATGGTCTTCAGAAGCACCGAAATATGAAATCTGTTGTGGTTCTGGCCCTTTCTTAATAATTAGGGTCATCGCTGTATTTTCCACCATTGCAAATACACTATATTGCCAAAAGTATCCGGCCTTCACACGCAAATTAACTTTAATGGTATCCCAGTCTTAGTCCGTAGGGTTCAATATTGAGTTGGTCAGCCCTTTGCCGCTATAACAGCTTCTACTCTTCTCGGAAGGCGTCCACAAGGTTTAGGAATGTGTCTATGGGAATGTTGGACCATTCTTCAAGAAGCACATTTGTGAGGTCAGGTACTGATGTTGGACGAGAAGGCCGGGCTCACAGTCTCCCAAGGGTATTCTATTGGGTTTAGGTCAGGACTCTGTGCAGGCCAATCAGGTTCCTCCACCCCAAACTTGCTCATCCATGTCTTTATGGACCTTGCTTTGTGCACTGGTGCGCAGTCATGTTGGAACAGGAAGGGGCCATCCTCAAACTGTTCCCACAAAGTTGGGAGCATGAAATTGTTCAAAATGTCTTGATATGCTGATGCCTTAAGAGTTCCCTGGAACTAAGGGGCCAAGCCCAACCCCTGAAAAATCCCCCCTCCACCAAACTTTACACTTGGCACAATGCAGTCAGGCAGGTACCGTTCTCCTAGCAACCGCCAAACCCAGACACGTCCATCGGATTGCCAGACAGAGAAGCGTGATTCGTCACTCCAGAGAACACGTCTCCACTTCTCTAGAGTCCAGTGGCGGCGTGCTTTACACCACTGCATCTGGCGCTTTGCATTGCACTTGGTGATGTAAGGCATGGATGCAGCTGCTCGGCCATGGAAACCTATTCCATGAAGCTCTCTACGCACTGTTGTTGTGCCAATCTGAAGGCCACACAAAGTTTGGAAGTCTGTAGCTATTGACTCTGCAGGCAGTTGGCAACTTCTGCATAATCCAGCATGCGCTGACCCCGCTCTGTCATTTTACGTGGCCTACCACTTCGTGGCTGAGTTGCTGTTGTTCCCAGTTGCTTCCACTTTGTTATAATACCAGTAACAGGTGACCGTGGAATATTTAGTAGCAAGGAAATGTCACGGATGGACTTATTGCACAGGTGGCAACCTATCGCGTTACTACGCTTGAATACACTGAGCTCCTGAGAGCGACCCATTCTTTCACAAATGTTTGTAGAAGCGTCTGCATGCCGAGGTGCTTCATTTATACACCTGTGGCCATGGAGGTGGTTGGAACACCCGAATCCAATGATTTGCAGGGGTGTCCAATACTTTTGGCAATATAGTGCATCTCCTGTTTAAGACCCCTGCTGTTGGAACAGAAATTGAGGAATATCATCCTTGGCTGGGAGACTGGCAACTATAAGGCGATTTATCTGCGCGATATTGCAGAAAACATGCCTTGAGTACGATCAAGGGCCAGATTTCGGCCTTGGCGGTCCTTTTTCAACGACCGATAGCTTCCAACGCTTTCGTTCGCACTTTTGTGCAGGTGGTTACACGTATCGTCCCCCCTGTTCGCTCCCCGTTGCTGCCATGGGATCTGAATCTGGTACTCTCAGTGTTGCAGGACTCTCCCTTTGAGCCTCTGCGTGACATTCCAATTCTGACTCTATCTCAAAAAGTGGCCTTTCTGGTGGCGGTCACCTCGATCCGCAGGGTCTCGGAATTGGCGGCCCTCTCTTGCTCATCCCCGTTGCTGGTCCTGCTTTGGGACAAGGTGGTTCTGCGGCCGCGACCGTCCTTCCTGCCGAAGGTAGTTTCGGCTTTCCATCTCAATGAGGACATTGTCCTGCCTTCCTTGTGTCCGCGGCCTGTCCACAGGAAGGAGAAGGCGCTGCACTGTCTGGACGTGGTCCGCGCCATCCGTGTTTATCTGAGTGCTACGGCTGCGTTTCGGGAATCGGATTCCCTGTTTGTCGTTGCAGATGGCCCTCGGAAGGGCCGGGCTGCCTCGTCGGCCACCATCTCTCGATGGATTCGCGACACGGTCTCTCAGGCGTATGCTATTAAGGGGCGTGAGCCTCCTTTTTCTGTTACGGCCCATTCTACAAGGGCTGTTGGGGCATCTTGGGCTTTTCGTCATGGTGCCTCCGTTTCTCAGGTCTGTAAGGCCGCGACTTGGTCTTCTGTTCACACCTTTGCCAAGTTTTATAAGGTGGATGTTTTGGCATCTGCGGATGCTGGTTTGGGGCGCAAAGTGTTGCAGGCGGCCGTTTGAGGGGATTTTTTTGTTTTAAGTTGGGTTTGTTGTTTCTGTTGGCCCACCCCTCTTTTTTGGTACTGCTCTGTGACGTCCCTACAGTACAGGATCTCCGATCTGTTCCCTGTGTCCTTCAATGAACGGGAGAGAAAATAGGATTTTGGTACTCACCGTAAAATCCTTTTCTCTCCGTTCATTGAAGGACACAGGGCCCGCCCCTCTATATGGGTGTGTACTCCTTTACTGCTTGTTACTAAACTGGAGACTTGTCAGCAGGTGGGGGGTTTTGGCCACCGGCAGGGGCCGCCCCTAGGCTGTGATTGGTCTTTAGTTTTGTGCCTAGCGTCCTTCTCCTGCAGGTGGCGATATTACCCTACAGTACAGGATCTCCGATCTGTTCCCTGTGTCCTTCAATGAACGGAGAGAAAAGGATTTTACGGTGAGTACCAAAATCCTATTTTTACATTCAAGTCTATGGAAATCGTTCACACCTTTCGATTTGTCGCATGTTAGAAATCGCCTGTCTCACAAAGTGCAGGAGCTATTTTCGGCCAGTTGTCGCACAGTTTGGGTCTCAAAGACAACCGCACGGTTTTCAAAGCAAAATCGCCCAAACAAAAACAGCTTATCAGCTCAATCACCTAGGTTTGAACCTAGCCTAAAACGGCACAAAGGATCTAAAGCCAGGATCTAACCAGCCAAAATTCGATGTGTGGCGGCTGGTGTCGGCATCTTTCTGACCGCGATCCCTCGATCAGCTGATCGAAAGCGCATGTCAGAAAATTGTCAGCCGAAAAGAGCTAGCAGCCAATGAGCTGCCAGCTCTGTTCATTTATTCTGACAGCAGCCACGAAGGAAACAGCAGGTGATTCCTCGATCAATACTCGTAAGGGTTGATGAAGGAATGTTTTCTATTCTCTTTGTTCTGCTGGCAGGTTGAATGAAGAAAAAAGGAGCATGTATTCACCCGACTTAACCCTTCTCTATCCTATTCAAAAGAAAATCATTTTAGTTGGAGCTCTTCTATCTTTAAATCATTTTGAATGTGGTAATGTATCATTATTTGTTCACATGGAGCAGCTTTTTTTTTTTTTACTTCTTATCTCACTGATGGTTGGGGAGTTGGAGACAGACTGCAGTAATTGTTAGCCAGAAATCATGTGATCTAGGCTGGTAATGGAGGATCAGCATTTTTTATCATCTGAATGATATTTGTTTCGTAAAGTAATGTGGTATTGCTAACGTGTTCTATTGAGATATATCATTTTTTTTCAATTTTAATTTTTTTAAAGATTCTTTTAAATGTATGTGAAAAAAAATTGGGGGGAATTTATTAACGCAGTTGTGACTTTTTGAACTCGCATGGGATATATTTGACGTGCTTTGCGTCAGATTTATGTTTCTAGTAGGGATGGACCGATACTAGTATCGGTGCCGATGCCGAGTATTTGGGCTCAGATGCCTAGCCCGATACTTCCGGTATCAGGAAGCCGGGCAGCGCGTCATTACACGCTGCCCGACTTCCTGATTGGCCGGGAAGCCGACTCCATGCTCTCTCGTCACAAGTGACGGCTTGTCGGACGGCTTCCCTGCTAATCGGGAAGCTGGGTGGCGAGTCATTACATGCCGCCTGGCTTCCTGAATGGGACTTCCAGTACTCAGTATTCGGTATCAGCGAGTACCAGAAAAAAAATTTACTTTTTACTCTTTACTTTTTAAATGTACTCAATACCGAAATACCAGTATCGGTGCGTTCCTAGTTTCTAGTGTTATTGTCTTTCAGACCCCTAATGTCACCTAGGAACCCCAAAGCTGAGGTATCTGCTTCCCCAGCTTCTTCTCCCGTCTCTAAGAGCCGGAGAATGTAAATGGTGACACCCAAAGTGATGTAATACACATCACTTCCGGGTACAGGGATCAGAGGAGAGATCAGCGACTGGAAACCACTGAATCGCTCTCCAATCCATGCGGGGAGGCCCGCCGCCCGGGGAAACCGGCGGCAGGGGTGGTGCCGCACAGTACAAACGATACGGCAGCTGTATGGACACCGGATAGCTTGTACATTAACGGCCATGGCTGGCTGTTAATGACACCAAGAACATGGCTGCTGCAGCAGCTGTGTTCTTGCTTTAACCACTTCTGTGGGCCGCTGACATATTACTGCCTGGAAGCGGTTTAAGGGAACCTGTCTCTAAACAAAATACTAGTTTGAGAAGCATGATATATCTTCATTGTTACCTAAATCTTGGTGTACTTTGTGTATTTCTTCCAGATCTGGGTAGTTATCCAGCATGAAACAACTCCTGCTCTTTGTCTCTGCAGGTGTCTACTGTAATAAAGACTGGTCGCTTCTGCTCTTTGGCCTAGTGCACATCATGACCGATTTTTAGCATTTGTTTTGGCTGAGGGATTTTACTGTTTTGTTTTTGGTTATGAGCCTTTTTTGCCTTCCAGTTAGGTTCTTGTTCTAAAACATGCCTTTTTTTTTGTAGTCCAATCGTAAACCAGGGAACCCCGCAACAACAGATCTCGAAGAATTTTGGCATCACCTCCCCTATCAGCTTAGCGGTACCCAAGGAGACAGACTGCAGTCTCACTCAGAAACTTATAGAGACATTGAAACCTTATGGCGTCTTTGAAGAAGAGGAGGAATTACAGCGCAGGTGAGTCTATTGATTATTGAAATCAGAGGGCCTTACAGAGAGAGACCAATGCACCGTTAAATACATGTCTTGCCCCCAGCAACCAATAAAATTATAACTTTTTTTTTTAGTGCCTATTGAATGCTATTGTTTGCTGTGTTCATCGCTATTTTCTTTTATTTTTGCGAACTCCTCAGATACTTTATTTAGAATAATCGTCTGTGTAAAGCTTTAATCTCATGGATTTTTTTTTTTTTTTTTAACAGAATCATAATTTTGGGGAAGTTGAATAATTTGGTGAAAGAATGGATTCGTGAAATTAGTGAACAGAAGGTAAGCCAAAGTGGGTCTGCCGACACCAGAAGATATTTTATCTAAGATCTTTTTAAAATTTCAGCAAAAGGCTATAGGTAAGCCCTTTTGTTGTAGTAAGAGATAGAGGCTGAAGCAGAGTAAGGCCCCATTCACACGGGGACTTATACTGCGTTCTGGAATTCCTGTGGCAGGAATCCTAGGTGTCACGCTGTCATTAACTTGAATGGGTACAGTGGCCACATCTCAACGGGGTTACCTGTGAATCCTGCCGCAGGGTTCACAGAGCGCCCCGTGTGAATGGAGCCTTACTTGCTGTATACTTTTGCAGAATCAACTTTATGCCATCTAGTGGTTCATAGGTAGGTATGGAGCACTTACTATAGGAGATGCACTGAGTACTTAGCTGAAAAGCCTTGCTGGGGAAGACCAAGGCTTCAGAGACCCAGTAGGTGGTCCTTCATGGCCCTCTCAACCCTTGATAAGAATATCCGTTTTAAACAAGGTAATTAATGCTGAGACCTGGGCTATATAAATATTGTCTAAATAGAAGAGCTATGTCTATTGTTACTTGAATGTTGCGTCCTGCGCGGTCCCCCCCATATCTGTGCAGTAATCCAGCATGCAACGATTCCTGCTCTTTGCCTCTGTGCAGGGGTGTGCTGTGATAAAGATTAGTTACTACTGCTTGCTCTCCTGATGCAGGGTGTCTTCTATCCAAAGTCTTCCATCCGCACCCTCTGCAGTGTTCTACAGGCTGTAGTAAGAGGACCTGTTGGGTCTCTCCCACAGCTCTCTTTTCTGCATAGGCTATGTACAGCGCAGTGATATCGCCACTGCTTTTACAAGGTAATATATGGGTTTACAGAGGCGTTTGGTACACACAAAGTGGATCTATAACTCTATGGAGTTTTTGTGCCCAGAGTTCAGCTACAGCTTTGGCACGTGCTATTCCTTTTTTTTATGTTATAATTCATATACTGTTTCCGCATGTAGCATAGTAATACAACACTGAAGTCTGAGGGGTTGGTAGGCAATGTGTTTTTGATGAGTGCTATGTAAAGCTCTGCATGCCTTATGCATTGCTAAAAAAAAAAAAACCTAATTACTTTGATTTGCTTTAAAGGAAAAACTACTCCAGATTGTGTTTTTTTTTTTTCTACCTTTTTTTGTGTCTGAATGATGGGAAACTGTTAATGAATTTTCTTTTTTTAGGGACATTTAAATTATTATTTTTTTTGGTGGAAATTAAATCAATTAACAATGTGTGTATTATAATATGATATACTTCTATTAGATAATGAATAGTAAGTCGCATACCACTAACATAACCTTTTTACTCCACCAGCACCTGCCTCAGTCTGTAATTGAGAATGTTGGAGGCAAAATATTTACTTTTGGATCGTACCGATTAGGGGTCCATACTAAAGGTAATGTAGATGCAGAGCCATTTCTTATGTAATTTTGTTTGATCAACACATTTTTCAGTTTTGTTTTCTTAGTCAAATGTAAAAAATCCTGTTTTTTTTTTTGTTTGTTTGGAAATCTTCATATAATTGAGCAATTATATGAAGATTTCAATACTTCTGGCAATCTCTCCCATCCTTTTGTGCTTTAATAGAGGTTTTGTAGAAGGAAAACATCCATTTTACTATAGTAGACCTCATAGAGCTCCTTTTTGCTAGACAAAGCTCTCTGATCAGAGTTTCCTTATCACTTTCTACTCCAAAACTATCTCAAAGTGGCTTGATTTGGATGTCTTTAATAACTTTGTAATTGGTCTTTTATGTCATACAGTTCAGAAAGAAGTATGATAATGTGGTCATAGTACTGATCAAAGTGATTCAATCTGCACTGAGATTGCATTAAAGGAGAACTATGAGGTGAGTGATTTCCACTCAACCTCATAGTTAGAGCCGACGTGTGACATTTAAACTGTCATGGCTCTCATGCTTGAGCTGACTGTCTGGTTTGTATTATTATTGCTGAAAAATGTCTAATATATTTTATATTATTTTTTAAACTGTCACACGTTGGCTCTATAGTTACATAGGTTAAAAAAGACACAAGTCCATCGAGTCTATAGATCGGGAAGTGAGCAACCACATACCCGCGATCACCTCCCTGCAGAAAGCAGTGACTGTTAGTCACCACTCCTTGCAGGGATCCCCCTCCCCGATCCTCCAGCGCTGAGTGGAGGAACGGACGGGGTAGGGGCTGGGCACAGCTGGCTCTGCCTCTAGATAGGCAGAGCCTGCTGTCAATCAGCCAGCTGGGTGGCTCTTGACAGTATTGTCGGGATCCAACCCAGCTGCGGCGCTCTCAGTATGTAGCTCGCTATATACTGAGCTTTGGGCCAGGGTGCTGCTGTTTAAGTTCCCTAGAGATTGGGACACAAGGGTAAATTGCTCCTTGTTTTTAGGTTTAGTATAAATGTTGGTGTTGAGTTATATGTTTGATTTTACGTCAGGGATGTAAGTGTTGGCTGGAGGTTAAGGGGTTATGGTAAACGTGAAGGATTTAGGTAGGGGCAGGGTTGAGTGTTAAGATGTGTTTTTAGTGTTGGTCACTTTAAATGTGTGTAACACTTTGAAGTTTCAGGATTTTACCATATTCTTGGGATGGAAAGCCTAGGGCTGAACTGTCTAGTCAGGGTGATTGGCAGGTGAAGAGCATTGCTCTCACATTATTTTTAGACCTTTTTTTTTAACTTGCATTTAAAAAAAAAAGCTAATATGGTGTTCCTGACACCTTGAATACATTTGTCTATTTCTCCATTTCCATTTACAGTGTTACTTAGGGTAATGCCTGTTCACCCCTTAAGGAGCAAGCTTCAGATGCTTGTCTCTGTTAAGGACCAAAGCAATTTTTGCTGTGTGTTTTTAACCGAAATTTTCGTCTTTCTCATTTATTGCACCAACACATTTTTAAAGGCCAAAATGGCTTTAATTTGATGTGACATGTATATGTAAGTTCTAATGTAGTACATGAGGGAAGCTTAAACCCTTAAGGATCCATGATGGAATTATTTTGTTATGGGTCCTTATGGCACAGACAACCATGACGGAATAATTCCGTCATTGGTCCTTAAGGGGTTAAATCATGAGAGCTGATTTGTGTGTCTTCGTTTTGACCTGCTAGCCCATGATGTCCTGAGAAGAATTACCCTCACATAGGTCTTAATATTGTCAGTTTTTCCACATTTGTCTGATTTTTGCATTAAAGTATAACTAAAGGCAGATTTGGATAGCATTGTGAAGAATTAGAGCTGGATAGGCAACATTGGTACTCCCAGCTGTGCTAAAACTACATACCCCATCATGGTGATTCCCATCATGGTGTCAGAGTTTTGCAGTGGCTCAAGGGACTTGTACTTCCACAACATCTGGAGTGCCGAAGTTGCCTACCCCGGGTTAGAACCACTATCATTGTAATCGAACATGAAAGTAGGGGTAAACCCAGAATTTTGAGTTGCCACCAGAAAAGAAATTGAGGAAAAAAAAATCTTCCAGTGGGGACACTTTCTGTGACAACTGTCTGAGGGGATATTCCTCACATTGGAAAGATATCCTCTGAATTCCTGTTGAGCCTTCAGGACAGGAAGTGAAGGGAAATTTCCCAGTCCCAGATGGCATAAAAACTGACAGGTTTTAATCCTTCCCCTCTTCAGGTAAACCCTTAAAAACTGAATGTGCTGTTGAGATACATGCAAGTGTTTTTCAGCCAGTATTTTATAGCACCATGGCTGGCTGAACCATATCATCTCTGCAAGCTACACTGCAGTTGATACACCTGTCAAGAAAATCATGTAGGCTGCAATGGCTTAGCTCTCTTTTTGAGAAAGTATATTTCCTGGCTCCCATGATAAAACTTTGTCTTTGACACTTGGAGGTGCTGACCCCTAACACGTCTACAAAATTGGAATTCTCATACTTTCTTAAAGCATGCTTGTGGGCGGGTCTGTGATTTATTTCCCTCATGATAAGTATACTAGTTCCATGACCTGCTCCTGTCTGTGAATGGTCGGTAAGGCCTCATTCACACTGCCGCACGTGTACGTGCGTATTGTACCACATGCAACCTATGCAAATAAATGGCTCCATACACACAGCCGCGTATAGAACCGTATATTTGCGTAGCGTATATATGCGTAAAAACAGAATGGAACAGAGATGCGTCTGGGCAGCGTATTTCTGCTTATTTACGCACAAATACATGCGTACAGCACATTAAAAATTCCATTATGAGTGATGCATTCTGGGATTGCATATAGTGCACGCATATACGGATATACGCGCATATATACGCAATATACAATTTTGCTTGCGTTGTGTGTGAATGAGGCCTTAAGAAGAAGCATCACATTGATGTCATCTCCGGTCTGCTGCAGAGAAGAGATGTATTCTAAAACTCTTCTAGAATCTGTATCGCAGTTTGCCATTTTATTCATTACTGTAAGATGTTCAGTGTTATCAATTCTGTCATTTTTTTTGTTTCTTTACAGGCTGTGGAAGAAGCATATGTGCCCGTGATTAAACTTTGCTTTGATGGGATTGAGGTAAAAACTGAAATGACCTATATTTAATGTGATGTGTTCTTATGCAAATACTAACTTAATTGGGTTTTCACTTTTAAAGAAAGCAGTTGGGGTTCCAGTGTCTTGGGGCAATTATTACTAAAGTGTATTTAGCTGCCATCTTGGGATCGAAACCGTTGCTTTTTCCTTGATTGAGCTGTTTTTACCCCGAAAAACAAAACCTATTTAAGTAATTTAATTTTACATTTGTTTGAACTGTTGTATAACTTGCATTGTAATTAAGCTATTTCGTAGTGGCTCTTTAGAAGTAAATTGTCCAGTTTCTAAAGCTAACATGCAGGCAGATGTGTAAGTGTAATACAGTATCCACAAAGGTTCTAAATTTTCAGATCTGTATAGCAGAAATATATTGTTTGTGTTTGCATTGTGTCCCTTAAAGCCAATTTACTCTGCTGCATAACTTATATGTGACTTTAAATTACTTTTAGATTGATATTTTATTTGCAAGACTTGCACTTCAGACAATTCCTGAGGACTTGGACCTGCGAGATGATAGTCTGCTGAAGAACTTGGATATCAGATGTATACGGAGTCTTAATGGTATGCTTACTATAAAAAAAAGTGTTGGCATGATTGGTGTAGTGGGGGTGGGGTGCATTTTAAGATACAGGCCAGCTATGGACTTGCCCATTTTCATTCTTTTGTGACAATTTGTCTTTACCCGATGGCACAGTTAGGGCTAAGGCAGTATGTTTGAAATGAAACACTGAAAAAAATATTCAGTTTTGGATAGGGTGGAGAAGGGTTAAAATAATCAACTTACTAGCTGTAGAGGCCCTCAACCACAGCCCCTGCCATGGGGAAACATGGAAGTTTGCAGACATAGTGCAGCATATTAGAAGATGTGTTGTCCACACACCATTCCACGGAAATCTCTGTACAGATATTTAAGAAAATACTTTATTTCTGCCCCAGGAACTTTACTAGCATGCTTTTGTATTTCTTTTTTCCTAATCTCTGTGTAACTATGTCCTTAAAATTCAAAGAGTGCTCTAAATGTTTGTAAGCCTTAGTCTCCACCATGGAACACCACATCTCACTTGATTTATTAGCAAGGAGGGTGGAAAAATTCAGCCTCCTCTTGGCAAGAATTGTATCTAGAGTTCTGTTTATTTATATCCTGATAAACTCTACAAGAAAAATTATTTAATGGGAAGTATTACCTATCCCCTTCCTGTCTGTGCAATGTCTTATAAACGCAGCGGATTACATAAACAGGTTCAAAGAGTTCAACTTTAATCCTTTTCAGGTTGTCGCGTAACTGATGAAATCCTCCATTTAGTTCCGAACATTGATAACTTCAGACTGACTTTGAGAGCAATCAAGCTTTGGGCCAAACGTAAGCATATATTCCTTCCTACTAAACAGTTGTATCAAAGTAGTATTGAAGTCACTTTTGTTTTTTACATGTATCTACTACTAACAAACAGTGGATATATACAAAACCATTAAAAAAAAAAAGTAAAAGTTACCAAATAGGTAATTACTTACCTGTGTCTCTGCCTCTCGCTCCCGTCTGAAGATTCTCGAGCGGCCATGCAGTATAATGGGGCAGGCGCATTCGCAGTAGATATCTTGGGCGGGGAGAAGAGTAGAGACACGGGGTAAGTGAATGCAGGCAGCCATGAGCGTGCACGTCGGGCAGACAACGTGGGACACAAGACACAGCACTTGGCGCTGGATCAGAGACCGCCACCTGCGCTGGAGGGACTCCTGAAAACTACAGGAATGAAGATGATCGGGTCGAGAGGCATCATTTAAGGTAAGTCCTTAACCTCCATGGCGGTATGATTATCTCAGTATTTTTTTTATTTCCCGCCGGTTCCGCCCCCCTGCAATGCCGGCGCTCGCAGGTACCTGGAAGACACCCGAGTGTGGCTCGGGGGTTACAGCTTTTGGTACGGAAAATTTACCCCCGAGCCACACTCGGGATTACCGCCAGAAAGGTTAAAGCAGCATGGGGGGGGATTGTCACTTTAATGTCACTTTTTAAACTCTTAACATTACAGAAAATTTATTATACACCCTATTTTTGTTTTCCATAGGCCATAACATATATTCAAACATCCTTGGATTTCTTGGTGGCGTTTCCTGGGCCATGTTGGTGGCAAGAACATGCCAACTGTATCCAAATGCCATAGCGTCCACTCTTGTTCATAAATTTTTCTTGGTCTTTTCCAAATGGTGAGTTTGTGTAAGAGGTTACTGTAGTGCAGTATTATCGCTGTATTGGAGAGCTGTGCGGAGTAAGTTTTTAAAGGAGAACCTTTTTTGCATTTTTAGTTTCTTTTATGATGTAGGGATGCATTTTGCAATGTACTCCTGTAATCAAAAATGCACCCTAGGCTTACAATTCAGTGTAATATACTATCGGAGTTTATTCATGTCTGGTCGCAGGTTTACGAACACTTGCACGTCCAAGTTCCCCGTGGTCCCTGTGCAATAGAAAGTAGCCACCGCTCAAAGCTCGCTCCTGTGATGGACTACAGTGTCATGTTTTTAGTTTTCTACATTGTATTGAGATTGTAGTTTATCACGGGAGTGAGCTTGGAGAAGTGGCTACTTTACAACACACACAGGGACCATGAGGAACAAAAGTGTCCACCCTCCAGAAGGAAGGACAGTGTCGGCACCAATTCAGAGATGATTACAGGATCTACAGCCGAGTGATACACATATAAGATACATTTTGTTAATAGGTAGGGTACTTGAATGTATTTTTAAGATTTACATCCTAAGTTTAGTGTCTGGTTAGATATTTAAGGTACCCATCACACTTTTACATAATGTATTAACTCGGGTAATCTCATATTGTCTGATGGTTTCTTCTTTTATTTTTCCTTTGCAGGGAATGGCCTAATCCAGTGTTGCTGAAGCAACCAGAAGAGTGCAATCTTAATTTGCCTGTGTGGGACCCAAGGGTCAGTAATGTTTCCCAGTTTTACATTGCATTCACTCATCTGTTTGTGTGTGTCATAACATGAATGTTTTTGGGAGAATTGTTTACATTTTGTTCATTTATGGGAAATGTTATTTTAGACGGACTCGAACAAAGATGTTAATTAAAGCTGCCGGATATCTTTATTATTGGAGTTCTGCTGTTACCTAAGGGAATCACCCAGCTTTTGATACCACAGGTCTCCAAACTACACCCATAATCCTAATCTCTAGCATACAGATGTGTGTGGTATGCCTGAAATGTGCTACAAGGGCAAGGATAGAAGTTCAGGTTTAATCCCAGTAACACACTTCAGTCCTAGACTGAATATGCCCACTCACTGTACTGTATCTTTGGAGGGAGGAGCAATCATTCTAGAACAGAATATGTCGGAACTACAGAACACATCCTCTTCTCTTTGCCTATACAACATAAGGGGAAGTTGTTCTGTACTTCACAGATGAACTGGGCATTGCTCATAACAGTGCTTGGGATTTCTGTGCAGCATTTTCAGCACAGTACAGGAAGTAAGGAACTCACTGAATTGCTGATGAGATTCACAAGAACCGTATTTCTTTCTTGTACATTAAGGGGCATTTGTCACCTACAAGAGGAGTTGACTTTGGCACACAAAACAAAAATTGTGGCCATCCCTTCTACTGTCCGCATACCTGTTTTTTTCCTAGTATCCAGAATGATGGTTTTCTTTGCTCTGCTGGGAAAAGTCTAACCCTTATGGTAGATACTTTTTCTTCTGATGCCAGCTTGGGGCATAAGGGATTGTTAGGGTCTTGTTAAAAAATGGATTTTTGTACTTGCTACTCCTTGGAGTTTAAGGGACACAGGTTCCTCTCCTCTGTTTGATAGTGCTCTTGGTACAATTTTTCCTTAAAACTAAGGCACGCTGGGAATGGGAGGAGTTTTTTTAGTGTTCAAAAATCCTTTTTTTTTCTTTGTACTACATGCAGTTTGAAAGAGACAAAACATTGGGACTTGTGCATATATTAATGGTAATCATTTTTTCCCATTTGCCTACACATAAACATTAAACCTGCATTCTGTGTATACAGAATATCACCTTACATCTAACACAGTTGGTCTTGGGTAACCTAATAATACGGCTACTCGCCTGAGTGTACAATTAAAGCTGTGGTTTTTGTTTGTTTCATCTTAGGTGAATCCCAGTGATCGGTACCACTTGATGCCTATCATCACCCCAGCCTACCCTCAGCAGAATTCCACCTACAATGTATCTGTTTCTACAAGAATGGTTATGGTGGAAGAGTTTAAACGAGGTACAATGTACACATAATAAACTTGCATTAGGTTTAGGGATGTTCATATACCAAGTACTTTACTCTTTACTGATACATTTTTGTTTATTGTCATGTGACCATTTTTCTAAAACAATACAGACGAATGATTTCAGGACAGTGGTGGAGTGCCAGAGCCAGGTCCCCGCTGCAATCCTGATACTTCTCTTGAAAATGTCAAGTATCGGCACTGGTATCTGGACATCCCTAATTAGTTTTTAGAGTAAAGGTTCTGTCTTTTTGGTAAAATAGTAGCAGAAATTGTTACTCATGGCTTCACCCAATGTCTCTATGTTCTCAGGGCTGGCTATAACAGATGAAATCTTGTTGGGAAAAGCGGATTGGTCAAAACTTTTCGAGGCTCCTAACTTCTTTCAGAAGTACAAGTATGTATTTAACTATCTGCCTACTTTTGTGTAATGGGTGAGCAGTTGCAAAAGGCCAAGAATAGTCAGTCGGGATTCATAGGTGCTCAACTAGAATAACCAGTTGCAAACTCATTTTGTCTTATCATATAATCAATTAAAGAATTTAAGGGCTAAGTGCTAGAAGTACTTTTGTCACAAGTGTATTGTAGGGAATGAATACGATTTCTCAGAGTTGTGTTTGTGAACCACGTCTATGATTTACTCATGGATTCTCCATTCATGATGTAGCTTTTCAATGGGTTCCTTGAAGTATATTTTTATATGGGTAACGTGGGTTGTTTTAGAGTAGGTCGTAAACAGATGATCTTTAAATTTAGAAAACATCCTGTGCATAGTATTAAACTGCACATCTAGTGAGCTGTTATAAAATGCCATCTTTAGGAATGTCGATGGCAAGCCCAGCAATTTCTGAGGATTGTATAGATCCAACGGCCTGATGTCTTCGGGTGAGGCATACTTTGCAACGCCCTGTCTGGTCCTTGGGCTACTCAAGTGCTGAGTAGCCCAAGGACCAGACAGGAAGTAAGAAGGGATCTCCGCAGTGGGAACCCAGACAGCAGTAATAAACTGACAGAGGGTCTTGTGTTTCTTTACATTGTTGAAAGAGAAACATTAAAGTGCCATCTGTGTCCTTGTTTGAAACCAATAACTTCTGTCTATTGACTGTACAAAAAATAATGAATGCTCCCAAATGGGGATATAGAGAGCATTAAAAAGAAATAGGCCCCAACCCTTACCTTTTTAGAAAGAAAACAAAATTGCTGGAGTTTTGACAGTCAGGTTGAAAAAAAGACACATGTCCATCGAGTTCAACCTATAAGATTGATTGAGACAGCCTGGTCTCCACATGGGGTGTCTTGCATTAAGAGCAGAAGTGTATAGTTGCTTATATTAGAAAGGTAATGCCACTTACAAATGTTACCTTTCGTATGAAGTTCTCCTCCTTTAGTTGCGCTGGTGTTTGGTAAGTTTTTCACCCCCCCCCCCCCCCCTTTTTTTTTTTTCCCTGAACAATTATGGAATAATGTGCATTTTGTGGGTGTAATAAAAAAAAATCTTATAATGAGGTATGTGTGGAGTATACTTCTTTCCTAGAAATAGTAATGTTAAGCTATTGTTCTGTGATATTCTTTTAAGTATTGTGATTAGAAATTGATGTATTACAAAAGGTGCAAGGGAAAAGAAAAGTGGAACTATAGAAATTCAGGTTTATCAGTCTTTTTACTGCGAAATGAAAGTATAGTTGACGCATTCACTTTCTAAACTGTTGCAAACTGCATCAGATTTGGTGTATTGGAAAGCAAAATAACCACCCCAGTGGTTTGTTTGGTTTTTTTTTCTTCCTCCATCAAAATGTTTCTCTACTATTCTTTAGTAATTACAATCATGAGTTGTACTAGAAATCCACTTTTTCTTTTTTTCACATTCCAATTTTGCTTTTATAGAATATTATTATACATTATTTATAGAATAGGGTATTCTGAATATGGTATTCTGCATCTTAACTATCCCCACTGTAAAAAAATGAATCCCTTCTAGTGGAACCCTCCCTTCTTTTTTCTCTCTATGCAACTGATATACCATTAAACTTTGTGTGGTTCTGGGAATACATGTATTTGCCAAATCTTTATTCTGGCCTTTTTTTTTTTCTCAATTTTGCTCCCTGACTGTAAAGTTTGTAAACCATTTAATCTCCTGTCAGTAAATCCTTACATTGCTGTGCCTTAACTGTAACTTGTTTTTAAGATTTGGTTTTGCAGGTTATATACACAGGGCAATGCAAACTTGCAGATGTGTTTTTGTGTTCCTTTTTTTTTTTTTTTATATCATGGTTATTCACAAAACGGAGAAGAGTTTGGAGAAGGCCGGAGACGTGAACAATCTAGGACAACATAGCTGAACTGGACAGTGAGCTGAAATGGAGAATTTTTTCCATATTTGCTATGTTCTCCTAGATCACTTCTCCTGCCTTCTCCAAACTCTTCACCTTTTAGTGAATAGATCTGCATGTTAGTTTTTGCAGAGTAGCCTCATTACCTTTTTTATAACTTTTAAAATCAGCATCTGTCAATGCCACGTTCCCACGGAAGCGGTTTAGCAGTGTTGCTTTGCCAAGGCTGGTAGGTGTCCCTTTCTATGGGACATTCTCAGTATTGGAAGACAGAGGACTTGCTGTACACACTCCTTGTATTCCGTTGTTCTCGTCAGTGCTGTGATAAAAAGCCTCTAGGAATAATGTTGCTTGCCGCAGGCGCTTTTCATACTAAAGTGCTCAATACCTTTAAAAATGTATCTCAATTGCAATAAATTGCGTCAATATTCACTTCAATTACACAGTCACTAAGAAAAGCAAATTCCGGTTTACTTATTTCATCTGCACATGATTGTATATTCAAAGTGAACAGATTTGCTTTTCACATGATTGGATAACAGAAGTGAATATTCAAAGAGTTTGTGTGAAGCTTTAAATTAGCCCATCTTCCTCTAGTCCTTCCCCTGAGAATAAATCAGAAGGCAAGAAGCAGTGTTTCTTTGCACAGTATACTGCCGTTTCTTAGCAGGTAATCTACACAACCTGTATATCTAAATGTATATTGCCTTGTCCCCTGATCTAGAGCAGAGCCATAGATCAAGGGACAAGGCAATACAGGAGCCAGCAGGATTTTTTAGGAGCCTTCATTGCTCACTTAGGGCTTGTTTACAACATGTAAGCTAGTAGTGATACCCACATCTAAGTTTGAATGGGACCCTTCATCCGGGGTTTTTTTTTTTTTTTTTTAAAGCATTAAATTGCAGCACATGAATGTGACCTAGTCACTTGATTTGGATTTTTAGTTTACATGCAGTAAGTTGTTGAATACAGCTGTAAAAATAAAAGTGTGAATAGGCCCTAAGTGATTACTGGGTTAAATTAGTTCTAAACCCAATCACAAAATTATTTTAAAACCACAGCTTCCATTTAAAAAATAGATTTATATATAGATGCACAAATAAAAGGTCCTTTTATTTGTGCATCTGCTGCTATGGGGTGGCACAGTTCTCTCAGATTGTGTTCTTGTTTTGATTGTATTGTGTCACAAGCACCTCTGGTGGAGGCTACAAGCAGCAAGGCAGACACACATTGAGCAGACTTGGTCCACTGTTGTCGATAGTTATGAGGTGCGGCCAGCCCTGGAGTGTATGCATGTAGACAGGAAGTGTCTAAAAGATGCTTGAGGACTGGCATAATAATGTTCACGTTAGGTAATCGGGCAGAATCCTGCGTTAACATCAGAAAGTCTACTGTAAAAGTTCAAAAGTAATTACCTTCTTCAGGATTATAAAGCATGGCATATTTGATAGTAAATACCCCATAGGTACTTGTACATACCCCTCATATAAATTACTGCAAAGCTTCAGTGTAATCTGTAACAAGGATGCAGTATGTTTCTTGCTGTAGTACTTTTACATGTCACGTGGGTCCTTTTTCATTTTTGTTGTCTTGGAGTTTATCCTGTGCAGCCAATGTATTCTGTAGTTAACATGGGTGGAAAGATTTTGTTATATTTGTTTGAGAAATGCAAAAAAACAAACCTGGTTTTGTCAGAAATCTTGGGTGCATCACTTCCTTATCAATTACATTGTTCCCAGCTATCTTTGAGGACCACTATACCCCTTCCATGTAGTGTGTAGAGGTGGAGATTTCTAAAGTCCCATCCTAGGTTGACGACCATGGCTTTTCCTTAGCTGGGATACAGTGAGCCAGCTTAGGACAGGAAAGTGTGTTACTGGGAGGATCACTAGTGGAAAATAAATGGTAAAAACACAATTGCACCCACCATAGCTAAGGTTTAATCTGCAGTATATAAAATTTTTGTTGGGTTTAGATGAACTTTAGCCTTTTAGTTCTATCTGGTCCTTTCTTCTCCATCCTCTCTGACAACGACAAGTGTCTGTAACATCAGGTATATAAATTGGAGGTGGATCCATATACTAAGCATTATAAGTGTTCACCTTTTAGAAAGCAAGGATAGTGAGGTTGCATAGCGATATTGCTGTTTGCACCTTTAGGAAAGCTGAGATGGAGGGTTTTTTATGTTCAGCAGAAGTAGACTTCCTATTTAACCCAAAGCATGGCCTCATAAATGTGTACGACCTTAGTAGAGAATGCTCCATGGAGCTGAAACTTTCATCAGCCACAACAACAACAAAAATCAGATCTGCTTAGGAACTTTCTTGGCCTGTAGGTCATAAAATGTCCTCATAGGCTTGTATTGTGCAGTCTGAGAGAGTGTGAACATATGCTTGATGTCCGACTTATAATCTCCAGGTCACTGTATTGGTGGATACAGACTGTCCCCCCATCCACACATCAACCCTGGAGTTCTGCTTTCAACATACTTCATCCTCACTATCTTGTGGAAACCTCCTTCCTGTTTAGATTCATTAGAACTGCAAATTATAATGCCATGATCATCAGATCTTTTCATGTTTTGGCCAGTCTGGTGCAGTGGATTATTTTTAGATTTCTGTATAACTGGGAAGTGCTTGATTTGTCCCAAAATACTGTTTTTGTTTTTTTTTCCCTTCCTGTTTATATGATGACGTTTTGTGCTGTTTTTTTTTTTTTCCATATTGAACCGAAAATAAATATGTAAAAAATGAAAAAAAAAAAAAATGAAAAAACTAAAAAAGAAAAGTCAGCAAATGTGTCTGTGTTTTTGTTTTTAATATTTGGAGCAGTTTAAACTTTTAATGAGTGCAATGTCTGACTTGGCATTTCCAGCCTTATTAAAATGCAGGTTCCCTGGCTTTGAGCTTTTGTCCTTAATCACTGGCCTGCAGCAAAGTATACAGATCAGGAGTTCTGAGCTCACCGGCTGTGAACTTGTGTCGGGTCAGTTACTCGCTAAGTAGTAAAGTTACAGAGCCAGGAAACAAGAAGTAGGAATAAGTGGGGCAGTAGCAGGTAGGTATTTCTCTCAGGGCATTGTCCTTTTTTGTTTCTCTCCTGTGAGCATTGGAAGTTGTTTCAGTAAATAGTGATAAACCTCTTTCCTCTTGTGGTGATAAACAGCATGCACAGACTTTGTAGTTAATTGTTCAATGAATGTGCACCCTTACTTTGTGAGATATACATATCCGGAAAGTGATCTTAAACCTTAACTTTTTTTTTTCTTTCATAATCAAGAGTGCCAGAGGTAGTTTAATTCTTTTTTTCTTTTTGCTTTTTTTACAACTTTTCTTTCTTTCTTCACACTTTTATTTCCTCGTTTTCTAGTTTTCCATGAACCGCTAGCACCCCCCACCGTGTGTGGGTGTCCAACTAGCTGGCTGCTAAGGGGGCACTCTTGCATGCGTGTTCCGGCTGTGGCCTGCACCTAACTCTGTGCTTCCATAGACGTGCGGCAAGCCACGTCCCCCGCACTCAGTCACAGTTTGACTGATAGCAGAAGGAGCCCATGGCTCCGCTGCCCTCAATGCCCTCCCCAGGACCAGGAAGTACGGTATCTTCCTGGTCCTGTCGGAGGAGACGAGCGGCCACAGCTTTTCTCTCATTTTCAAATCTTAACTGAACAAACTGAAGAAAGAACCTGATTGGTTGCCATGCACAGCTGCTCCAGTTTTTTGTCTGCTCCTGTCTTGGTAAATTCCCCCCAGAGTGTGCCCCTGTTAAGGGTAGTCACACAACTGTGATAACGCCTGGCAATGCACATAATAAAGTGTGTTGCATTGCTATGTGTTCTGAATTTTACCCCAACTCTCCCTGCTGACAGACCTGCCTTTAGTGCTATTTTAATAAATATGTATTGATTACTAGCAGTAATAAATAAAGTAGCAGAATTTTCTCTTCATATAACTAGGAGGTACAGTCAAGGACTTTGAGCCTTTGATTAAGTAGACATTTTTAGAACCAAGAAAAAATGTATGCCAACAGCGCCAATTCTAATGAAACGCATCCTGAGTTAGACAGTCACCCCTCACTTCATTGATCGGTGTCCTAAATCATAAATCTCTGCTTTTGGACAGCGAAAAGGTTATAATCCCTTTTCAGATTTGTACTGTTCTCTCTGTTCTTTATGTTGGGAAGATTGTTCATAATTTTTTGTTCTTGAGATGGTGGACACTGGGACAGGAGGTGTGAGCAAAACTCCACTTAAATCCTTTTAACCCTTCTTTTCCATTTTTAGATTATATAAAGGTCTATATGTTTGTGTTGCGTAGTGTGTGATGGTAGTGCAGTTTACGCTACTACTATCACTATTGGATCAGTGTACTGCATCCAAGTATATTTTTCCTATATAATTTGGTTCAGCAAAGATCGGAACTTCTGATTTCCTGTTATAAAACTAAGGGTTTGGCAAGGTCAGTTGATATTATTTGTTCGTCCCGAGTGTGCTGCGCAAGCTTGTGACACACTTCAGTGCAGTTCCTGTTAGAGTTTGCTTTACATATGTATTGAGGTATCAAAATTATTTATACACTTGCATAATGCTAAAGCTAAATTTTAAGGCTACTGTTTTTTTGTTGCATGCAGGGAAAAGCAACAGGTTCACTTTAACTTCCTCCTCCCCAGGAGCATATACTTGCTTTGCCTTCACTTGCCACTCAACTGCCAGAAGCGTAGGAAGGCGCATTTCTTTTGTGTTTGCTCTGAGTGGCTCTAGTTGGAGCTTACATGGGGCTGAGTACTCCCTCCCTACCTTCACCTGGCAGAACTGGACCAAGCACTGATGCTGTCAAATAAGAGGAAGGTGAGGGAGTTACAGGCTTCCCCATACCTGGAAATATTGGGTATTTCCTTTGCTCCTGGTATGATGAAGGAAGGGTGAGTGTGCTGTTGGGAGGCATTAGCACAAGCCTGGTATTGTACCTGTGCCAAGAACTTGTTAGGATGGAAAGATAAAAGCTGCTCTCCTGACTTGGGTGTTTTTTAATTGTTTTGAGTTCTGGCGCTTTCAGCCTGATCCCTGCTTTACCACCTTAGTCACTGACCTACAATAAACACGCACTGGCTCCTTCTGTTCTTGCAGGTTACTTTTAAAGCATATACCATATGTTTTTGGCTCGGTAAATATTTTGTCCCTTTTGCCACCAAAAGTAGTTTACAGGTCACTGAAGACAGTGCATTGTATTTAGCAAAAGTGCTGATTTTTCCTGCATCCTAGTTACTGTATGTATCGTGGACTGCAGAACCTCGCAGAACTGGATTCGGAAAACCACCGACGTATGAAAAATGACTCTCGCCTAATTTTCTCATTCTGAGAAGCGGATTACTACAGAATCTGCACCCTAGCTAAATAGCATTTCCACAGAAGTGATTAGAATTCTGTACTTGGTTTGTTTCTGTTACCCTACTGCAAAAATATACATTTTGCATACTATTTCTCCAGGAACTTTTTGACAAAAAAGGAGTTCCAGAGAGTTTTGATAAGCTAGCGGAGGATGAACGTACTGCTTACAGTGAGCTCCTGATGGTAGAAATATATGGTAGCAGTCATAGACTTGGCTTTTACAAGAGGCACCTTGCATGTCATCCAGATCCTGGCCTATCTGTTACGGACCTGGAGGAAGCATGCAGTTGGTGAATTCTGCTATGGCAGCCCCAGTTCTTGTGTCCTCGGATTCCCTTTGAGCCTTGGGCTTTAAAGGATACCTGTGCTGATAGAAATGAATAGTCTGTATTTTGAATCATGGACTGCATCTGACTTTACTTGCTGCATGCTTGCTCTGGGTTCGTGATCCATGAAGTATTATTGGGCAGTCAGACAGCTTTTTTAAAGTATTTCAACCATAGCAACTTATGTGCGCTTTAGTTACATGACCGTCACTTCAATCACTTGAAGCTTAGCAGGTGCTTCACTTTGCTGCAAGTAAATCACAGCCTGTGCGCAGAATGGTGCCAGTGCCATAGGTTTCTTAGAGATTATTATTATTATTATTATTATTTATATTATTATTATACAGGCTTAATATAGCGCCAACAGTTTGCGCAGCACTTTACAATATAAGGAAGACCTTACAATCACAATACAATTCAAGACAAGATGGTAAGGATGTATTAAGGTGTAGACTACATGCTTGATATCTGCCTCCATTAAACTGTATTAATAAAGTTTTAGCATGTCATCAACGGAAGGTGAGATCACAAAACTCTCCAGTTTTTCCTGGCTTCCCTAAAAGATTTTTTTGTCATAACTTTTTTTTCCCTCTCTTTTTAGCTCTAAAATAGACGTATTGTGTCCTCATCTGCAGTTTGTGAAATGTTATACGCAAACTTTACGTTGAAATCTTGTTTAAATAAAATGGCATTGTCTTTATTTCCAAGGCATTATATAATCCTGCTTGCAAGTGCGCCGACCGAAAAGCAGCACCTAGAATGGTAAGTACAGAATTGCTCAGACGGCGGGAAGATGTTAAACTGTATCATAAAAATGTTTGTACATTTAGCACAAATTGTTCTTTTTGCCTTCTTTTATCATTTCTGTTATTAAATTACTTGGTCAAGCATCTTTATATTTTTAAAAACAAGCCTCCTATAAATGGGTTGCAGACTATTGCGCATTCACTCAGCTCAGCACAATTCTTTCTATGATTTGTTCCGTATTTATGGCAGTCCTAGCCATCCAGAGCAGTACGGCCCCGCTCATAGGAATTAATTAGGGTGCTGGTGCATATAGGAGCCAGACATAAAAGTGGTGATGTGCATGTTCTGGATCAGTTAATTCGTTTTTGACCCAAAGAAGAAAGGGGTCACCAGTGGAAACCTACATATTTTTCAGTATGATTATCTCCAGATATCTCTAGAATATTGCTGATTTTCAGGTAAGGAACCCTCTTCTTTTACAGTGAAGCGCAACGTCCAGAAATTAGTTTCACTTTTTTTTTTTTTTCCTTTTCATAAGACCGAACTTTACAGTCAAGGCTGTATGTATGATAAACACTGACACCTCTTTGCAGTTGTACCAGAATGGCATTGCCAGATTTCATCAGTGGGAGAATATGAAATGACTGCATATAAAATGTAATGGCTCTTTACATCCATAACTCACATCACGTGTTTATCTGTAATCATTTTTATAGGATTGGTTTAGTGGAGTCGAAGATTCGTATTCTTGTCGGAAGTTTGGAAAAGAATGAATTCATCACACTCGCTCATGTGAATCCTCAATCATTCCCAGCCCCTGTTGAAAATTCAGAAAAGTAAGTCTTGCGATTTAAAAAAAATTTTTGTGGATATTCTCTTTGAATAAACATTTAGGTCTTATTCTAAACATAAAGCGTGCATTGAAGTTGTTCTTTGCCCCTCTTTCCCAGAACCCTCCCACCCTTACTGCTCTATTTTTGTTCTAATATTTTTAACTAACATGTTTCTTCTGTAGTTCAGAACAAGGGCTTAGATGAAATGCTTTCCATTAGAATGTAATTCAGCAGGAAGAGCTTGGGTAGGGCTGGCAACAGTGCTTGGGATTTTGGCATGATCACAAGGTATTTTTCGTGCTTCTCCACTGAGGGACACCGGAAGCTTCAAATCTACGGCTGCTTATAAGAGGGTAGGACACTGGCAAACAAAAAACTGTAGGCCAGGCCAGAATTACCCCTCCCACTACCAGCAAGGCTCAGTTTTTTGCTAGTATTCGAGGTGGATGAACGCCTTTTTTACAGCTCTGCTGTGTTCAGATGGATTATTTGCTAGCACCCTTTTTTTTCTGAGATTTTTTTTTTTTTCTCTCTCCAAGTCTTCATCATTCCTGTTGCTTTGTCTCTTCGATTGCAGCTTTACGGTGAGGTCATCCTCAACCTGGTTTTTGGAGTACCATGTCCAGCCCCCCAGGAATAGCCTGGAAGTGATCTTCAGGCACTCTGCTCCATGTAGGGTGCTTTCCAGACTCCTTTCTGGTAAAAGCGAGCTGCAGAGCACTTTCCGGTTCCAGAGTCGTTGGCATTGCCTTAGCACTTGCCCGTCCCTGAAGACTCAGTGAGTAGGCTGGTCGGGTCAAGCATTGGTATATACCTCAGGTTGCTGTGTGCCATTATTTCCAACTACCGCCGGTTTTGCCTCAGAAAGGGTTAATGCTGATGGACCGCATTGATATTATTCACTAGGTGGAGTGTCACTTGCACTCTGCTCTTTCCTGCCATACAGTGTTGAGGAAGCATCTCCTCGCTGCTGCTTCTGCTTGCAAAGCAGTTCCACATGGAGCTTCCATCCTTTGATATGTTTCTGCTGCCCACCTACGGTGACTTTTTTTTTGTTCACATCCAGCCATCCAACCCTCACATGCCTAGATTTTGTGAGTACCTGATGTCTTGCCTCTTACCCTGAGTCTATACGTTGCCTTTCCATCATGTTGTCACATGTTTGATTCTAGCACCTTTTTGCAGCTCCTGCCTTCCTATTCCAGTAGAAGAAATGCCTCTTTTTGAGGACACAATTGATAAGCAGTTGAGAGCCTTCTTGAGAGCTCTGTTCTCGCTGGCAGGCCCACCCTTCTTAAGATCCTAGCTGTAAACTTAGCTTGCAAGATCATGTCTGACTGGTCAAAATCCTTTAAAAAAAAAAATCTATCTGCGCCGAGGTTGATGCCTTGCTTATAGAGCATGTGGAGCAGATGGCTGTAGCGTTAAATTTCATCTGTGTTGGTTTGTTAGAATCCTCTCCACTCATTTCTTACATGTGCCTCATGTCAGTGCTTATGCATAGGGCTGGACTGTACCCTTGTCTAGGAAGCATTTCAGCCACATGACCTTAGAGCATCTCTTTAGGCCAGCTCTTGACAACATCAAGGATGCTACTGTTAAGAGCACCCATCTTCCCCAGGGTAAGAAGCCTAGGGAACAAACTGCAAAGTCCCTCTCTGTGAAGAAAGGTCTCTTCATTTACGCCGCCTATGTATTTCAGAAAATTTCCCACAGTTAATGATAAATGGCTTACTGTAATAAGTTTGTCTGCGGCCTCACTTTTGAAGTCACCTTTTTTCCCTTGTTTGGTAAATAATAAAAAAAAATAGGTTGTGTTCATACTGCTGAGATCATGAAAGGGATGGCTTTTTTTTGTCTGCACAGTTAACTTGTACAGGGGAAAGCGTGTTCATTGACGTCAATCTGCTGAGCAGAGTCTAAATGCAGTCTTTCTTTTCACACTGGAATCTGCTGCTTCCTGCAATGTTGTCCTGAGCTTTCAAAACAAAGGCTGCACTGCTGTAAAATTTCTTCCATTTAAGTATGGCATGGATGGCTGAATTCTCCACAACCAAACGGACACTTGAGACACTTGCCTTTTAATACCCTGAACCTGAAATTTCTGATTGTTACAAATATAGAGAGAGTCGGCTGCTGAGTACCTCCATCTTAGATGTGATGTCATCAGCCCCAGCAGACTCAAAGCTGTCCCTTAATTGACACTGTAGTATTCCCCTCCAACCTATGTAGGAAGGGAATGGGGGGAGAAGCTGGGTCAACAGTGTTTAGCTGGTCATATGCTGTTTGAATTTCAGCCAAGTCCTGCTGACTTATCCAAAATTTGAGTGGCGTGTTGAACTTCTAGATGGAGCTAAGGAGCCAGGTGGAACGTCTTCATCTGAACCGTGACTGCAGCCAGTCGGCAACTACAGAAAATAGTTGTTGATCTTGCCAGAAATGCATTGTCATTGATACTTCCAGTGAGCTGCCATGGAAGCATTAATGTCTTTATTTTAACTACTTTGTTCATCTCCATTACATGGGGAAAGATGAAATAAGGCAGACATGTTTGAAGTCCAGCCTGGGTGGCCTCCATTAATACAGTGGGGGAGTAAGCATAGCCCCCAGGATAATTATTTGTAGGATTATCAGGCGATTTTTTTTGCCTTTTTCAGTGCTGTGATAGTTTGACTAATAATTACTCAGCCATGCAACACTGGATCCAAATTAATTTTATATCATTTTTCAGACAGAGCTTTCTTTAGGTGATATTAAAAAAACGCTGCTTTTTAATAAAAAAAAAATTACTTCATGAATAAAAAAAACAAACTACCAATTAAAAAAAATAAAAATCCTTTAATAGTATAAAACATATCAAATACAAATGCCAGGACAGTAAGAAAACCCCCAAAATGAACTTTTTGGAAAGTGGACACCCCAAAGTGATCTCGTTTTTGGAGGTGAAGAAACATGCTTGTATTGGGGTGGGTAAAAAGCCAAGTGCAAGTCTTCCATTATTAATGGAAGAAAGTTCCCAGGAGGATGAGATTGCATTGCACTTTTATTGTATTGCGTGCTGGGCAGCTGAATAGCTGTACTATTTGTTTTGCAGCACCTAGATGATTGTGCAATGCCCAGTCCCGTGTTCCTCCCAAACCCCATCACCCTCCCCACCCCATCACCACCACCATCACCACCTTTCCCACCAGCAAAACTAGCCCCACCATGTACCGTGGGCGGCTTACCTGTCCCTCCTGGGTACCTAGGATGACCCTTGGGTACCTAGGATGACCCTTGGGATAGAGGGCGACAGAGTGAAAATCTGAGTAATGATTGTGCCACATATGTTTGGTACAGCCAGAAACACTCGCCGCAACAATTCTATGGCCATCATTCACTGTCGACTCTAAGTTGATGACCTGTACAGGCTTTTATAGCATCATCTATGGACACATTTGAATACTGACGTTTTCTGGCATTTCCCGGCCACACAGTTTGGAGGCTTGGTATGTTGTTTTTTTCAGGTATCAATTCATTTTGCACAACCTCGTCTTTTATATTTTAAATGCATTTTTACTTGAGTAAAAATTTGAGTTTGATAAACCGTTGCGTTAATATCGTGTGACAAAACATTGCAACTTCCCTCATTTTATTCTATAGGGTCTCTGCCTTCAGAAATGATAGAATTTTGAGGGTTTTAAGTGATCTTCAGGCCTAAAATATGCACTATGGTGGAAAAAAACAAATAAATCTAGCAGTGAAAGGGTTACGAGTGTCCTAAATATAATTAAATACAAAATTCTAGAATGATTTATGTTTTCTTTCAGGGAAGAATTCCGGACTATGTGGGTAATTGGACTTGTATTTAAAAAGATGGAAAACTCCGAAAACCTCAGCGTTGACCTCACTTTTGACATTCAGTCTTTCACAGATACAGGTAACCAGACTTCAAAGTATTTTATGTGGATTATTAAAATGTTATTTTAATAATGTTTTATAAAGAGCAGTCGGTAGAACCATGTGGACCTTCCAGAAATAGTTTCTTAAGGCTTCAAGCTCCAAGCTGATATAAAAACACCAACACACAAGATCTCCGAATACTCCATGAAATATAACCGATAATGCTGTATCAAGTTAACAAGTATTGAATATACCCTGTTTCCCTGAAAATACGACCTACCCCGAAAATAAGACCTAGTTGTGACCATTCCCAGGGCCGGTGGTGGCATAAGGGGGAACTTGAAGAGCTGCAGGAGAGGCGGGAGAGAATCGGTGGTGCCAACAAAGCCAGCGCTAGAGGAAGGGAGGCGGCAGTGGAGGGAGCAGAGCCGCTAAGCCGATGCTTCCTCTATAGCGCCGTCTCCTGTCACAGGCGGAGTGATACCAAATGCACTCCCCCTGTGAGGAATCGATAGTGAAAGCGCGCTTCGCTCATTCTGGCCGGCGATTGGTTACCAAATTGCTCTTGGAAAGGTACGACACCCCTGATTGCCCTGATCACCCTATTCTTAACTTTGCCATTTTGGATTTGCACTAACTTTGGATTGTTGTACGTTAAAAAAAAAAAAAGACCTACCCCGAAAATAAGACCTTGTTTTTTTGAGCCAAAAGGAAATATAAGACACTGTTTTATTTTCGGGGAAACATGGTATCTAGCCTAAAATCGCAGATTCAAACTGCTGAGAAAATATGATATTTTAGTTCTGTATAGGATTCTTTGATTCCAATTTCTCTCCCATCCATTGAGGGACACAGGAGTGTTGAAATGGGTTATAATGCCATCTATAGGATTGGACAGTGGCAAAAAAAAACTGTAGGCCAGCCCCTCCCATTACCAGATTGCACCAGTTTTTTTGGTTTATAGTCCTAGGATGACTGGACGGCTTTCTCAGCTCCTCTGATTTGTAGACTTACCCTCATCAGAGCATGGGTACTTCTATCAATGGTGGATTCAGACCACCCTTACTGGTTGTGGCATTTTCACCAGTGCAGCCAAGGAGCACAGTTTTTTTTTTTTTTTTCCCCCAGCAGGAATGCTCCTGGATCTCACTGCGACTGCCCTACTGAGCCTCCGTAGTCTTGAAGTACACTATGGATGCACTCTGATATTGTACAAGTAACAAAGTGTACTCCGTTTTGGGTTATGACATTAGCCTATATCTTTTACCATGGCCCCCCTGTAAATCTGTTTGTTAAGGTGTTTGCCTAACTTGTGAGTGAAAAACATTGTAAAAGGACACTTTGTTCACATCCTTTGTCCCGGTATTGTGTTTTTTGTAGTTTATAGACAAGCTATAAACAGCAAGATGTTCGAAGTGGACATGAAGATTGCAGCCATGCATGTGAAAAGGAAGCAACTTCATCAGCTCCTCCCCATACACGTGCTCCCTAAGAAGAAAAAGGTAATGTCTGAGACATCTAGCAAAGTCAAGCATCATCAGTTTTGTTAGTGCTCCCGACATATTCTAGTCTTATGAGAAAAGTTACCTCCCAGGGGTGCAGCCATATAGTAAAGAAGGTCTTACCTTTGTTCTACCAGCACTGGGGCTGCTTTAGACATTGAGCTGCTGAGAGGACCACTGTTCTAGGCATGCAGCTTGATCCCCCAACCCACCCCTGCTGGACCATGGTTACACAGCTGGCCCCTGCTGATTTTGAGAGCTCTAGCTGTGACTCGCCTAGGACAGCTGCACACATCAACTGTCCTCCTAAGCACCCGAATGCAGGTGAACCAGATTATTCCATCCTAAGGATGCTTCATCACCAGCTTGATTCTTGTGCAACCAATAGAGACCCAAATGGATTTAAACAAAACATGGGAGTTGTGTTCACCACATTCCTTGATCAGATGGCTATTAGGAGGGACTTGGGTACTCCTTGGTCATTATTGGACCAATACAAAATGATTTTGTCTGTCCAGTTTGAAATATCAGTTATTTACCCGTTATACAGCTTCAGGAACCTAAGCTTTTTAGTTGACTTTATATAGAGAGGAGCGTAGTATTATGATTCCGAGAATTAGTCTAAGCTTTGGATTTTGTTTTGCAGCATTCTACAGACGGTGTAAGGCTGGTGGGTCTGCATGACAGCAGCCTGGACTTATCAGTGGACAGTGACAACAGTATGTCTGTGCCTTCTCCCACCAACACCTCCAAGACCAATCCATTAAATGCCTCAGGATTGTCTCAGGGGTAAGGTGACCTTTTGAATTTATTTATTTTTTTAAACCACTAACAAAACATAGTACACCAAACGTATTTCTAGTTTAACTGTTTTATTCTGTTATAGGAGCTGAAAGGGGTTAGCTGGTTTTAGTTGATCTATCACATATCCAAGTAGACGTAAACAGATAGGTTTAGATAGCTAGAGACGGACAAGCCTGGTGTGTGTTCATTGCCTATTCCACTGTCCCATGGGGTGAAAATGTATTCCCGGCAGGCATATTCCAAATATCAAGAAGAGTAGTGCAAGTTCCCTTCAACCTCAACTCGGCTTGTTTCCATATAAGGCCATGTGACCAGAACATGAAAGGAGGTTAACGGATGCAATATTCCTTACTATATACCTTAATTGGGAATTTACAAAGATCTGCAGGGGCAGAGTGTGAAGCAGATGCAATTGCATCTTCCTATCTAACAGATGTATGTTAATTTAATGGTAAAATATAGAGAAGTGAATTTATCAAAACTGGAGCAGACAAATTCTGGAACAGCTGTGCATGGCCACCAATCAGCTTCTCTCTTTCATTTTCAAATCTTAAAGGTGGACATACACTTTACAACCATGGCAAGACCTTAGTCTTGCCATGGTTGTAAAGTAATTTAAAAAATGTACGATCTGCCCATCTTGGACAGGCAGATCGTACTTGCGATCATCGCAAGCCCGCCCCCCTGAGGGGCCCGGCCCGTTCGGCATTTGTCTCCCGAGCATGCCACAAACGAACATGCTCCTTAGACAAAAGACGTGCGACCATACATTAAAAACGGTTGCACGCCTTCCATACACTTTGCGATTATCGCACAATCGCGGGATTTCCCGCGATTATCGTGCGATAATCGCACAGTGTATGGGCACCTAAAGAGAGAAGCTGATTGATTGCCATGGGCTCCAGATTTTGTCTGTTCCAGTTTTATGATAAATTTCCCCCCAGTGTATTTTCCGTGAGAACACATTTTGAACAATTGTAAGGTTTGCAACTTGTATTTTTTTGGGATGCCCAATTTTACTTGTTCTGTATTATCTCTATGGCTATTAGTACAATGAGCATCTTTGCTCATTTAGTCTTTTGAAGGCTGTAAAGGATTAAATCTCAGCAAAGTGTCTATGTAAAGACCAGGCCACTCCTTCCTGTGCCACAGCCACCACCAAAATACATGATCTTCCATGTATGGGGGAGCATGTGACCTCCTCCCATGCTGCAATGCTTGCACCACCACTCTCTATCCCGGCTGCGACACCAGCTGACACTGGGGATTAAAGGAGAATTATGAGGTGAGTGATTTTCATTCACCCTCATAATCTGAGCTGACCTGTGACAATGAAACTGTCACAGGTCGGCTCAGTAGATGGGGAAGTGAGCGAACACATACCGGCGCTCGCTTAATTTTCGATCCTGTCACTGCAAAGAGCCGTGACAGGGGAGGGACTGGATTCCCCCCCGCCGTAGCTCGCGGTATACTGAGCTTTGGGTGACGGGAGGATGCTGGTTTGTGTCCTCCCATTACCCTTAGGAGAACTATGGGAAAAAGCCCTAACCCCATAATTCTCCTTTTAAGTAACAATATTTGCTTAAAATACTGTAAATTCACAGAAAAGCCACTGTTTGATTTGCGCTGATGCCCAGCTCAATATGTTCTTGGAGGGATGATGCTTTAGAGCAGTTCTTGTAAATTAAGCCTGGTAAAGCTGTTTAGGCCGTAGGTACAATTCAGTTTTGAAGCCTCCTGATCGTTACCCTTTTTTTCTTCCTGCAGTAGAAGCAGTCCAGCAACACCAGTGAACTCTTCCTTGACCAATGTACCAAATGCGGAGAGCATTGTGCAGTCCTTGAATAATTCCATAGACTTGTCACGGGGTAAGTTTGGAATGTTCTTCCCTGCTTTGAGAAACACTGACTTTGTTTCTTGCTGTTTTTACAATTGCTCTTTTCTTGCAGGTAATATGCAGGAAAGCATCCCCGCTGACCCTGCCATGTCGCCATCCAACTCTTCTACACCAAAACCTGTGGTGTCCCGGGTGGTGACCGCTACCCGGCTGGTGAACCAAGTTCCAAAGCCTTTCATAAGCATTGGAGCGAAACTGCCAAGTCCAGTAGCGGGTGTGAAACGGACATCCTCTCCTCAGAAGGAAGAAAGTCCCAAGAAAGTCAAAACTGAAGAGGTGATCGTCTGTCTTTTATTTGTGGTGTACACAAGTGCTCCTTAATTGTACACATAATTACTATCATGTGTATGAAAAGGCTTTTTTCCTATTCCTTATGTATTGTATCTTTTTAAAGTGGTACTCCAGCTACAAAAAAAAATAAAAAGAGCCCATTAACAGGAAAAGCTCAACTTCTATATGAAGCTGTCTCCCACAGTAATTCTTTTCCAGCTCTATATGATAGATCAGGAAGCTTGGGCTCAAAGTACCAGAACGCACGTATGTAGTATACAGGTAGCCGTCCTATTACATATCCATGAATCATTTTTACACTTACATATGCTAAAACTCATAGCTATACAAGTCTGCATGAAAACGGGTATGTTACAGAGAGATGGGGGCCTATCAGAGAGATCACTTGTCTGGCCACAAACTACATAAAGAATTCTCTTTCTTTTGTATAGGATGACACCAATGGCTGCACTGCTGTAGACTCAGATGAGTCAAGTCCATGTGAAATGGAAATATTAAAGGTGAGTTACTTGAAGAGTACGATGTTTCGTTTTGAGATTCCTATAACCATTCCTTCTTTTTTTTTCAGAGTAGCAGCGGGCATGTTTGTCTTATGTTCATAGTACCAACAAATTCCACTGCTCTTTACTGAGCAGGTAGAACCATTTACATCAGCTGCTGCCTTCTTCCCAACTGGTGGGCCATGGTTCCGAACTGGTGGGTTGTGACCCAAAAGTGGGTTGCGACCCCATGTTCAGTGGAAAATCGATCAATGGTCACTTGCACTCCAACTTGATGGAAAGTCATTGCCTTTTATTGACTGGGATAGTGTTTCATTTATAGCAATAAATGGGACACTATCCCAGTCAATAAAAGGTATTGACTTTGCATCAAGTTGGAGTGCGAGTGACCATTGATCGATTTTGTACTATTGGCGGAGGCATCTGCGGTCGCATCAGCACCCACCCGAGTTTTGGGTTTGTTTTGAGGTCAGGATTGCAGTGGGATATACCTTGGACTCGCATGTTCAGTGGGTCGCCGCATGCCTTCCAGTGCACTAGGCGAGAGGCTCTTCAGCCTCCCCCATAGCACAGCAGTGTCAGTTCTCATCCCAAGCAGCCATTCAAAATTTGCTGCCTAGCGCCAAGTGTCCGCTTGAGGTGGGGTGGGCTTGGGGGTATGATCGCGAGGGAGCTCCATCCATACATGCATTGCTAACAGCTCCCTTGTGTGACCAGATTGACATCACATTCTGGCTTCTGGCACCTCCTACAGGGAGTGCAAGGAAATTGTACAAGCAATACACCTATAAATGGAGCTCCATCACGGCACAGCAGCCTACATTGAACCCCTAAAAAAATGTTGGGAGTGTGAATGTGTGCGAGTGTGTGAGAATGTCTGCAAGTGTGTCAGAATGTGTGCGAGTGTGTGAGATTGTGTCTGTGGTTGTCTGTGTCCGTCTGTGTCCGTCAGTGTTTTAATCACAAACTACCACGCAATTGCACCTACTGTTTGTTCTGGTGCGGGAGGTGCTAGTGTTGCCATTCATTTGAATGGTACCCCAAACACACCTCCCGCCCACAGTTTGATTACTTGCACTGGAACATGCAGTACCGCAATACTGTTCATTCCAGTGCAGTGCAGTTTGGGTCGTGACTTAATGACCAGGGACAAATGTGGGTCCTGAGGTTATACAGGTTGAGAACCACTGATCTAGAGAATCTACAGTCCACAGTCGTATACCCATGCACGTTCTTATGACTCCAGGGCCAGCTCAGACCGAAGCCTAATTAACCTACCGGAAAGCTTTTTACTTGTGTCAGGAAAGATATAGGAAGGGCACCCATCCAACACAAGTTCAAATCTTCCTTTGACAATAGCCTATGTGGTGAATTTGTTTAGAAAAACTGTATAGTACAGTGCGTGTAGGTAAATATACTCTGTGTGTGTATATTATGTATGTGTGTGTATATATAATATATAAT